GTAGCCAGAGAGACCCCACACAACCTGTAGCCAGAGAGGCCCCACACAACCTGTAGCCAGAGAGGCCCCACACAACCTGTAGCCAGAGAGGCCCCACACAACCTGCCACACAACCTGTAGCCAGAGAGGCCCCACACAACCTGTAGCCAGAGAGGCCCCACACAACATGTAGCCAGAGAGGCCCCACACAACCTGTAGCCAGAGAGGCCCCACACATCCTGCCACACAACCTGTAGCCAGAGAGGCCCCACACAACCTGTAGCCAGAGAGGCCCCACACAACCTGCCACACAACCTGTAGCCAGAGAGGCCCCACACAACCTGTAGCCAGAGAGGCCCCACACAACATGTAGCCAGAGAGGCCCCACACAACCTGTAGCCAGAGAGGCCCCACACAACCTGTAGCCAGAGAGGCCCCACACAACCTGTAGCCAGAGAGGCCCCACACAACCTGTAGCCAGAGAGGCCCCACACAACCTGTAGCCAGAGAGGCCCCACACAACCTGTAGCCAGAGAGGCCACACACAACCTGTAGCCAGAGAGGCCCCACACAACCTGCCACACAACCTGTAGCCAGAGAGGCCCCACACAACCTGTAGCCAGAGAGGCCCCACACAACATGTAGCCAGAGAGGCCCCACACAACCTGTAGCCAGAGAGGCCCCACACAACCTGCCACACAACCTGTAGCCAGAGAGGCCCCACACAACCTGTAGCCAGAGAGGCCCCACACAACCTGCCACACAACCTGTAGCCAGAGAGGCCCCACACAACCTGTAGCCAGAGAGGCCCCACACAACATGTAGCCAGAGAGGCCCCACACAACCTGTAGCCAGAGAGGCCCCACACAACCTGTAGCCAGAGAGGCCCCACACAACCTGTAGCCAGAGAGGCCCCACACAACCTGTAGCCAGAGAGGCCCCACACAACCTGTAGCCAGAGAGGCCCCACACAACCTGTAGCCAGAGAGGCCACACACAACCTGTAGCCAGAGAGGCCCCACACAACCTGCCACACAACCTGTAGCCAGAGAGGCCCCACACAACCTGTAGCCAGAGAGGCCCCACACAACATGTAGCCAGAGAGGCCCCACACAACCTGTAGCCAGAGAGGCCCCACACAACCTGTAGCCAGAGAGGCCCCACACAACCTGTAGCCATAGAGGCCCCACACAACCTGTAGCCAGAGAGGCCCCACACAACATGTAGCCAGAGAGGCCCCACACAACCTGTAGCCAGAGAGGCCCCACACAACCTGTAGCCAGAGAGGCCCCACACAACCTGTAGCCAGAGAGGCCCCACACAACCTGTAGCCAGAGAGCCCCCACACAACCTGTAGCCAGAGAGGCCCCACACAACCTGTAGCCAGAGAGGCCCCACACAACATGTAGCCAGAGAGGTCCCACACAACCTGTAGCCAGAGAGGCCCCACACAACCTGTAGCCAGAGAGACCCCACACAACCTGTAGCCAGAGAGGCCCCACACAACCTGTAGCCAGAGAGACCCCACACAACCTGTAGCCAGAGAGGTCCCACACAACCTGTAGCCAGAGAGGCCCCACACAACATGTAGCCAGAGAGGCCCCACACAACATGTAGCCAGAGAGGCCCCACACAACCTGTAGCCAGAGAGGCCCCACACAACCTGTAGCCAGAGAGGCCCCACACAACCTGTAGCCAGAGAGGCCCCACACAACCTGTAGCCAGAGAGGCCCCACACAACATGTAGCCAGAGAGACCCCACACAACCTGTAGCCAGAGAGGCCCCACACAACCTGTAGCCAGAGAGGCCCCACACAACCTGTAGCCAGAGAGGCCCCACACAACCTGTAGCCAGAGAGGCCCCACACAACCTGCCACACAACCTGTAGCCAGAGAGGCCCCACACAACCTGTAGCCAGAGAGGCCCCACACAACCTGTAGCCAGAGAGGCCCCACACAACCTGTAGCCAGAGAGGCCCCACACAACCTGTAGCCAGAGAGGCCCCACACAACCTGCCACACAACCTGTAGCCAGAGAGGCCCCACACAACCTGTAGCCAGAGAGGCCCCACACAACCTGTAGCCAGAGAGGCCCCACACAACCTGTAGCCAGAGAGGCCCCACACAACCTGTAGCCAGAGAGGCCCCACACAACCTGCCACACAACCTGTAGCCAGAGAGCCCCCACACAACCTGTAGCCAGAGAGCCCCCACACAACCTGTAGCCAGAGAGGCCCCACTCAACCTGCCACACAACCTGTAGCCAGAGAGGCCCCACACAACCTGTAGCCAGAGAGGCCCCACACAACCTGTAGCCAGAGAGGCCCCACACAACCTGTAGCCAGAGAGGCTCCACTTAACATGTAGCCAGGGAGCCCCCACACAACCTGTAGCCAGAGAGGCCCCACACAACCTGTAGCCAGAGAGGCCCCACACAACCTGTAGCCAGAGAGGCCCCACACAACCTGTAGCCAGAGAGGCCCCACACAACCTGCCACACAACCTGTAGCCAGAGAGGCCCCACACAACCTGTAGCCAGAGAGGCCCCACACAACCTGTAGCCAGAGAGGCCCCACACAACCTGTAGCCAGAGAGGCCCCACACAACCTGCCACACAACCTGTAGCCAGAGAGGCCCCACACAACCTGTAGCCAGAGAGGCCCCACACAACCTGCCACACAACCTGTAGCCAGAGAGGCCCCACACAACCTGTAGCCAGAGAGGCCCCACACAACCTGTAGCCAGAGAGGCCCCACACAACCTGTAGCCAGAGAGGCCCCACACAACCTGTAGCCAGAGAGGCCCCACACAACCTGTAGCCAGAGAGGCCCCACACAACATGTAGCCAGAGAGGCCCCACACAACCTGTAGCCAGAGAGGCCCCACACAACATGTATCCAGAGAGGCCCCACACAACCTGCCACACAACCTGTAGCCAGAGAGGCCCCACACAACCTGTAGCCAGAGAGGCCCCACACAACCTGTAGCCAGAGAGGCCCCACACAACCTGTAGCCAGAGAGCCCCCACACAACCTGTAGCCAGAGAGGCCCCACACAACCTGCCACACAACCTGGAGCCAGAGAGGCCACACACAACATGTATCCAGAGAGGCCCCACACAACCTGTAGCCAGAGAGGCCCCACACAACCTGTAGCCAGAGAGGCCCCACACAACCTGTAGCCAGAGAGGCCCCACACAACCTGTAGCCAGAGAGGCCCCACACAACCTGTAGCCAGAGAGGCCCCACACAACCTGTAGCCAGAGAGGCCCCACACAACCTGCCACACAACCTGTAGCCAGAGAGCCCCCACACAACCTGTAGCCAGAGAGCCCCCACACAACCTGTAGCCAGAGAGGCCCCACTCAACCTGCCACACAACCTGTAGCCAGAGAGGCCCCACACAACCTGTAGCCAGAGAGGCCCCACACAACCTGTAGCCAGAGAGGCCCCACACAACCTGCCACACAACCTGGAGCCAGAGAGGCCCCACACAACATGTATCCAGAGAGGCCCCACACAACCTGTATCCAGAGAGGCCCCACACAACCTGTAGCCAGAGAGGCCCCACACAACCTGTAGCCAGAGAGGCCCCACACAACCTGTAGCCAGAGAGGCCCCACACAACCTGTAGCCAGAGAGGCCCCACACAACCTGTAGCCAGAGAGGCCCCACACAACATGTAGCCAGAGAGGCCCCACACAACATGTAGCCAGAGAGACCCCACACAACCTGTAGCCAGAGAGGCCCCACACAACCTGTAGCCAGAGAGGCCCCACACAACCTGTAGCCAGAGAGGCCCCACACAACCTGTAGCCAGAGAGGCCCCACACAACCTGTAGCCAGAGAGGCCCCACACAACCTGTAGCCAGAGAGACCCCACACAACCTGTAGCCAGAGAGGCCCCACACAACCTGTAGCCAGAGAGGCCCCACACAACCTGTATCCAGAGAGGCCCCACACAACCTGTAGCCAGAGAGGCCCCACACAACCTGTAGCCAGAGAGGCCCCACACAACCTGTAGCCAGAGAGGCCCCACACAACCTGTAGCCAGAGAGGCCCCACACAACCTGTAGCCAGAGAGGCCCCACACAACCTGTAGCCAGAGAGACCCCTGATTTAAAAATTGAAATTAGAATCAGCGAGTTTAACAATGGACGGCCATGTAGAGACACAATGGACGGCCAGAGAGAGGGTTGTTCAAGTCGCCTAGTCAAGACTGTGAAAGTTGAATGAAAGCTGAGGACCCAGGACTGTGAAATGAAATATTGATCTCCGGATATTGGCTTCGATGTGGACAACAAAAGACAGACAGAAGGGGGGGGGGGGGGGGGGGCTGACATGTGCGGGTTTACATCCATGTAAGCCAAACATACACTGGTTTATATTACATGTAATGATGCCCAACATACACTGATTTACATTACATGTAATGCTGGCAAACATCTACTGATCTATATTACATGTAATGATGGCCAACTACTGATTTATATTACATGTAATTAATATTTATGGCAGAAGTGAAGTTTTTAAAAACCAAAAATACAACTTTAAACTTACATTTTTGGGGGTTAAACTCTCCGATTTTTTTACCATTCAACGTGTTAGCATGTAAAAGAGAATGTTCGTAGTTCCCCCCCACCCCCCACCCCCCGCCGCTACAAAATGAATACCTCTCAGCTTTATCGCTCCGCTGCCTTAGCACGATAAGCCAGATTTTTTCATCTTTGTCTAAGACAGTTTGTTGCCTGTTGGGCTGAATAATATTTGGATATTAATGAACGATTCCATTGATAAGCCGAGGCCGCGTCACGCCATGCGGCTCACGGGGCCAGCAGAGGGTGAGTATCTTCTGCTGGCTCATCCTTATCGCGGGATTTTTTTACAAGGGGATCTCTTCAATCTCTGCCCCACCCCTCCCCACTGCCCCACCCCTCCCACCCTTGCCCCCATTTACATGGCAGGTCTACAAAGCTTCACATTCAAGTGGACAGTAATAGTGAGACGTGTAAAGGTGAGACGATGAAAGGTGAGACGATGAAAGGTGAGACGATGAAAGGTGAGACGATGAAAGGTGAGACGGAGAAAGGTGAGACGTGTAAAGGTGAGACGATGAAAGGTGAGACGATGAAAGGTGAGACGATGAAAGGTGAGACGATGAAAGGTGAGACGATGAAAGGTGAGACGATGAAAGATGAGACGGAGAAAGGTGAGACAAAGAAAGGCGAGACAAAGAAAGGTGAGACGATGCAAGGTGAGACGGAGAAAGGTGAGACTTAGAAAAGTGAGACGTGAAAAGGTGAGACGTGGAAAGGTGAGACGTGGAAAGGTGAGACGTAAAAAGGTGAAACGTGGAAAGGTGAGACGTAAACTGGTGACATATTAAATGGCGGGGCCACTTACTCAACTTACCACCTGACATCTAACCTACTTACCAATGTCATCTACCCCACTTACCACCTGACATCTACCTCACTTACCATCTACCTCACTAAACACTTGACATCTACCCCACTTATCAATGACAACAACCCCACTTACCACTTACCATCTACCCCACTTACCGCCTGACATCTACCCCACTTACCACCTGACATCTACCCCACTAACCATCTACCCCACTTACCACTAGAATCTGCTCCAGTTACCACCTGACATCTACCCCACTTACCACCTGACATCTACCACACTTACCACCTGACATCTACCCCACTTACCACTTGACATCTACCCCGCTTACCAATGACATCTACCCCACTTACCAATGACATCTACCCCACTTACCACCTGACATCTACCCCACTTACCACCTGACATCTACCCCACTTACCACCTGACATCTACCCCAATTACCAATGACATGTACCCCACTTACCAATGACATCTACCACACTTACCACCTGACATCTACCCCACTTACCACTTGACATCTACCCCACTTACCACCTGACATCTACCCCACTTACCACCTGACATCTACCCCACTTACCACATGACATCTACCCCACTTACCATCTACTCCACTTACCAAATGACATCTACCCCACTTACTATCTACCCAACTTACTGCCTGACATCTACCCCACTTACCACCTGACATCTACCCCACTTACCACCTGACATCAACCCCACTTACCACTTACCATCTACCCCACTTACCGCCTGACATCTACCCCACTTACCACCTGACATCTACCCCACTTACCAATGACATCTACCCCACTTACCAATGACATCTACCCCATTTACCACCTGACATCTACCCCACTTACCACCTGACATCTACCACACTTACCACCTGACATCTACCCCACTTACCACTTGACATCTACCCCACTTACCACCTGACATCTACCCCACTTACCACCTGACATCTACCCCACTCACCACATGACATCTACCCCACTTACCATCTACTCCACTTACCACCTGACATCTACCCCACTTACCACCTGACATCTACCCCACTTACCACCTGACATCTACCCCACTTACCACTTGACATCTACCCCACTTACCACCTGACATCTACCCCACTTACCACCTGACATCTACCCCACTTACCACCTGACATCTACCCCACTTACCACCTGACATCTACCCCGCTTACCACCTGACATCTACCCCCCCCCCCCCCCCCGTGCAGCAGAAGCCTCAGTACTTCTAACCTCCGCCTGCTCGTCTGGTCTGGCACTGAGTAGCGCGTGCTGGTCTGTGAGGAGAACGCTGGTCAGGCTAGGACACCAGCTCGTGTTTACCTCCACTTTACACCAGCTCGTGTTTACCTCAAGTTTACACTTTTCTTCTTTACTTAAAGTTTACCTTTCCGTAAGTTTACACTGTTCTTTTTTACCTAAAATTTACCTTTCCGTAAGTTTACACTGTTCTTCTTTACTTAAAGTTTACCTTTCCGTAAGTTTACACTGTTCTTCTTTACTTAAAGTTTACCTTTCCGTAAGTTGACACTTTTCTTTTTTACTTGAAGAATACCTTTCCGTAAGCTTACACTTTTCTTTTTTACCTAAAATTTACCTTTCCGTAAGTTTACACTTTTCTTCATTACTTAAAGTTTACCTTTCCGTAAGTTAACACTTTTCTTTTTTACCTAAATTTTACCTTTCCGTAAGTTAACACTTTTCTTTCTTACCTAAAATTTACCTTTCCGTAAGTTTACACTTTTCTTCTTTACTTAAAGGTTACCTTGCTTTAGTTTACACATTTCTATTTCACTTAAAATTTACCTTTACGTCAGAGGCGTAGCGACCCTTCCCGGCGCTCGGGGACAAACTTTTCGATTTGCACCACCCCCATCGAGATTTTGATTTGCACCCCCCCCCCCCCTCAAACTTTCAATACCCCCTCAACCTTTCAATTTATTTTTCCAACCCATTTTGGCGCCCCCTAAGCTCGGCGCCCGGGGACATATGTCCCACCCCCCCCCCCCCCCGCCCCGCCCCCCCCCCTCGCTACGCTACTGCTTTCCGTAAGTTTACACATTTCTATTTCACTTAAAGTTTACCTTTCCGTAAGTTTACACATTTCTATTTTACTTAAAATTTACCTTTCCGTAGTTTACACATTTCTATTTTGCTTAAAGTTTACCTTTCCGTAAGTTTACATATTTCTATTTTACTTAAAGTTTACCTTTCCGTAGTTTACACTTTTCTTCTTTACTTAAAGTTTACCTTTCCGTAGTTTACACATTTCTATTTTACTTAAAGTTTACCTTTCCGTAAGTTTACACTTTTCTTCTTTACTTAAAGTTTACCTTTCCGTAAGTTGACACTTTTCTTGTTTACCGAGCAATAAGTTTACCCACAATTACACCTGAAATTTTTATTTTAAACCTTGAGGTGGGGTAAAAATTTTAAACATTGAGTATAAAAAACATCTTTGCCTAAATATTTATGTCTTGTAAACTCAACAGTTTGTTTGCCTACTATCATCTTTATGCCTTTTAAACTCAATAGTTTGTTTGCCTAAGATCATCTTTATGTCTTGTAAACTCAACAGTTTGTTTGCCTACTATCATCTTTATGCCTTTTAAACTCAATAGTTTGTTTTCCTAAGATCATCTTTATGTCTTGTAAACTCAACAGTTTGTTTGCCTAAGATCATCTTTATGTCTTGTAAACTCAACAGTTTGTTTGCCTACTATCATCTTTATGCCTTTTAAACTCAATAGTTTGTTTGCCTACTATCATCTTTATGTCTTGTAAACTCAACAGTTTGTTTGCCTACTATCATCTTTATGCCTTTTAAACTCAATAGTTTGTTTGCCTAAGATCATCTTTATGTCTTGTAAACTCAACAGTTTGTTTGCCTACTATCATCTTTATGCCTTTTAAACTCAATAGTTTGTTTTCCTAAGATCATCTTTATGTCTTGTAAACTCAACAGTTTGTTTGCCTAAGATCATCTTTATGTCTTGTAAACTCAACAGTTTGTTTGCCTACTATCATCTTTATGCCTTTTAAACTCAATAGTTTGTTTGCCTACTATCATCTTTATGTCTTGTAAACTCAACAGTTTGTTTGCCTACTATCATCTTTATGCCTTTTAAACTCAATAGTTTGTTTGCCTAAGATCATCTTTATGTCTTGTAAACTCAACAGTTTGTTTGCCTACTATCATCTTTATGCCTTTTAAACTCAATAGTTTGTTTGCCTAAGATCATCTTTATGTCTTGTAAACTCAACAGTTTGTTTGCCTAAGATCATCTTTATGTCTTGTAAACTCAACAGTTTGTTTGCCTACTATCATCTTTATGCCTTTTAAACTCAATAGTTTGTTTGCCTACTATCATCTTTATGTCTTGTAAACTCAACAGTTTGTTTGCCTACTATCATCTTTATGCCTTTTAAACTCAATAGTTTGTTTGCCTAAGATCATCTTTATGTCTTGTAAACTCAACAGTTTGTTTGCCTACTATCATCTTTATGCCTTTTAAACTCAATAGTTTGTTTTCCTAAGATCATCTTTATGTCTTGTAAACTCAACAGTTTGTTTGCCTAAGATCATCTTTATGTCTTGTAAACTCAACAGTTTGTTTGCCTACTATCATCTTTATGCCTTTTAAACTCAATAGTTTGTTTGCCTACTATCATCTTTATGTCTTGTAAACTCAACAGTTTGTTTGCCTACTATCATCTTTATGCCTTTTAAACTCAATAGTTTGTTTGCCTAAGATCATCTTTATGTCTTGTAAACTCAACAGTTTGTTTGCCTACTATCATCTTTATGCCTTTTAAACTCAATAGTTTGTTTGCCTAAGATCATCTTTATGTCTTGTAAACTCAACAGTTTGTTTGCCTACTATCATCTTTATGCCTTTTAAACTCAACAGTACTTAGTATTAGATCGATTTCGTGCCTCGTATATCTTAATGTCTATGCGAGAGCGCTCAAATTGGTTTGTTTGTTAATTAAAATTCACTGTAATGACATTAGTGCTGCATAATTAGCGCTTTGTTTTTATCGAAAAGTCAAGAAAAATAAATTATGTTGACTTGGATTGTAAGGGAAATGTGTGGGTACATAATGTTGTGTGGGTACATGTGTGGTACATAATGTTGTGTGGGTACATGTTGTGTGGGTACATGTTGTGTGGGTACATAATGTTGTGTGGGTACATAATGTTGTGTGGTACATAATGTTGTGTGGGTACATAATGTTGTGTGGTACATAATGTTGTGTGGTACATAATGTTGTGTGGGTACATGTGTGGTACATAATGTTGTGTGGGTACATAATGTTGTGTGGTACATAATGTTGTGTGGGTACATAATGTTGTGTGGTACAAAATGTTGTGTGGGTACATAATGTTGTGTGGGTACATAATGTTGTGTGGTACATAATGTTGTGTGGTACAAAATGTTGTGTGGGTACATAATGTTGTGTGGTACAAAATGTTGTGTGGGTACATAATGTTGTGTGGTACATAATGTTGTGTGGTACATAATGTTGTGTGGGTACATAATGTTGTGTGGTACATAATGTTGTGTGGGTACATAATGTTGTGTGGGTACATAATGTTGTGTGGTACATAATGTTGTGTGGTACATAATGTTGTGTGGGTACATAATGTTGTGTGGGTACATAATGTTGTGTGGGTAAATACTTAAATCAAATTATCGTTTGAATATTTGTATAGGTCGGTCTAAATGACGGAACTGTACAATAAATTTTAAAAGGTCATTACAAAATTAATTTTATTAGTATTTGAAAAGTAAAATCTTTTTGTTTTGTTCGTTCAGACTATCATACATCTTTTTATAATTGCCATTTTCAAAACACGTCTTGATTTACAACGATCACTAATACATCCCACAAATTGACTTAATACATCCCACAACTTGACTTAACACATCCCACAAATTGACTTAATACATCCCACAAATTGACTTAATACATCCCACAAATTGACTTAATACATCCCACAAATTGACTTAATACATCCCACAACTTGACTTAATACATCCCACAACTTGACTTAATACATCCCACAACTTGACTTAATACATCCCACAACTTGACTTAATACATCCCACAAATTGACTTAATACATCCCACAACTTGACTTAATACATCCCACAACTTGACTTAATACATCCCACAAATTGACTTAATACATCCCACAACTTGACTTAATACATCCCACAACTTGACTTAATACATCCCACAAATTGACTTAATACATCCCACAACTTGAACCGTTTACCCAACCACCACTAGCGTGACTTGAACCGTTCACCTAACCACCACTAGCGTGACTTGAACCATTCACCTAACCACTAGCGTGACTTGAACCATTCACCTAACCACTAGCGTGACTTGAACCATTCACCTAACCACCACTAGCGTGACTTGAACCATTCACCTAACCACCACTAGCGTGACTTGAACCATTCACCTAACCACTAGCGTGACTTGAACCATTCACCTAACCACTAGCGTGACTTGAACCATTCACCTAACCACTAGCGTGACTTGAACCATTCACCTAACCACCACTAGCGTGACTTGAACCATTCACCTAACCACCACTAGCGTGACTTGAACCATTCACCTAACCACTAGCGTGACTTGAACCATTCACCTAACCACTAGCGTGACTTGAACCATTCACCTAACCACTAGCGTGACTTGAACCATTCACCTAACCACTAGCGTGACTTGAACCATTCACCTAACCACTAGCGTGACTTGAACCATTCACCTAACCACTAGCGTGACTTGAACCATTCACCTAACCACTAGCGTGACTTGAACCATTCACCTAACCACTAGCGTGACTTGAACCATTCACCTAACCACTAGCGTGACTTGAACCATTCACCTAACCACCACTAGCGTGACTTGAACCATTCACCTAACCACCACTAGCGTGACTTGAACCATTCACCTAACCACTAGCGTGACTTGAACCATTCACCTAACCACTAGCGTGACTTGAACCATTCACCTAACCACTAGCGTGACTTGAACCATTCACCTAACCACTAGCGTGACTTGAACCATTCACCTAACCACCACTAGCGTGACTTGAACCATTCACCTAACCACCACTAGCGTGACTTGAACCATTCACCTAACCACCACTAGCGTGACTTGAACCATTCACCTAACCACCACTAGCGTGACTTGAACCATTCACCTAACCACTAGCGTGACTTGAACCGTTCACCTAACCACCACTAGCGTGACTTGAACCATTCACCTAACCACTAGCGTGACTTGAACCATTCACCTAACCACTAGCGTGACTTGAACCATTCACCTAACCACCACTAGCGTGACTTGAACCATTCACCTAACCACCACTAGCGTGACTTGAACCATTCACCTAACCACTAGCGTGACTTGAACCATTCACCTAACCACTAGCGTGACTTGAACCATTCACCTAACCACCACTAGCGTGACTTGAACCATTCACCTAACCACCACTAGCGTGACTTGAACCATTCACCTAACCACCACTAGCGTGACTTGAACCATTCACCTAACCACTAGCGTGACTTGAACCATTCACCTAACCACCACTAGCGTGACTTGAACCATTCACCTAACCACCACTAGCGTGACTTGAACCATTCACCTAACCACCACTAGCGTGACTTGAACCATTCACCTAACCACTAGCGTGACTTGAACCATTCACCTAACCACTAGCGTGACTTGAACCATTCACCTAACCACCACTAGCGTGACTTGAACCATTCACCTAACCACCACTAGCGTGACTTGAACCATTCACCTAACCACCACTAGCGTGACTTGAACCATTCACCTAACCACCACTAGCGTGACTTGAACCATTCACCTAACCACTAGCGTGACTTGAACCATTCACCTACCCAGCACTAGCGTGACTTGAACCATTCACCTAATCACTAGCGTGACTTGAACCGTTCACCTAACCACTAGCGTGACTTGAACCATTCACCTAACCACTAGCGTGACTTGAACCGTTCACCTAACCACTAGCGTGACTTGAACCATTCACCTAACCACTAGCGTGACTTGAACCATTCACCTAACCACCACTAGCGTGACTTGAACCATTCACCTAACCACTAGCGTGACTTGAACCATTCACCTAACCACTAGCGTGACTTGAACCATTCACCTAACCACCACTAGCGTGACTTGAACCATTCACCTAACCACTAGCGTGACTTGAACCATTCACCTAACCACTAGCGTGACTTGAACCATTCACCTAACCACCACTAGCGTGACTTGAACCATTCACCTAACCACTAGCGTGACT